CCCTAAACCCTAAACCTTAAACATGTTCGCTTGACCCAACCTGGCAGAATCTGCCTCTGTTGCTTCACGTCGCAGCTGTGCCTGGCTCTCGACTTCCCAGGGCTTGTTAGGGTTTTGAGTTTAGGGTTCAGGGTTTAGGGTTTTTAGGGTTTAGGGTTCAGGGTTTAGGGTGTAGGGTTTTGAGTTTAGGGTTTTTAGGGTTTAGGGTTTTTAGGGTTTTTAGGGTTCAGGGTTTTTAGGGTTTAGGGTTTTTAGGGTATAGGGTTTTTAGGGTTCAGGGTTTGTAGGGTTTGTTCTTTTGCCGGACCTTTTCTCCCAGCCACTATCCTCCCCAGAAACGCATTACTGCACGGCCCACATCCGAGAGCTGATGACCCCAGAACCCCAGAGTGACAATCAACAAAGGCACCCCAAATCCTAAACCCTGCACCCCTTTAAACGTTTTTTTGGGGCTTGGGCGTTGAGGGTTTAGAGCTTCTGGTTGTAACAGGCTGAAGGGTTTTAGGTTAAAGGTTTATCGTTGGGGCTCAGGGGGTTTGGAGGGTTTCAGGGCTAGGGGTTTAGGAGTTTGGGGCTTTGGGGCCTTGATCTTGTTTCGTTGGACTCCCTTCGGAAAGAATTCTGCTCGGATGAAACCTTCTGAAAAGCTTCTGCGAGAATGTAAGACGTGCAGGGTTTGTTCTACGGAACTTCCTGCGGTTAATGTCGGGCCTTAATGGTCGCATTTACTTTCTGATCGTTGAACAGCTGATACACTGCAGGGGTTGAGAGGAAAAGGGCCAATGCTAGGCTGCTCAGGACCAAGATCCCCCGAAGTGCGGACTTTGCGAAACCAACCCCCTGCAGAGCGAACCTGGTCTCTTGTAAGTTCAGGATTTAGGGTGTAGGGAACCTCACGTACACAAATGTCATCAAGAGCGATCATGAAAGGACTCTGAACTTTGCATGCCACATTGCATGCTGTGCCCTCAGCCCTCAAGCCTAGACCCTAAACCTTAAACGCTAAACCTATCCCAGAGCGTCCATGTAGCTAGATAGAACAAAGTAGAAGTGGGGCATTGCTTTTGGGCTCTGAGCATCTCGTACATACCTTCAGCGACAGTCTGTGAAGTGAAATAGTGGCAGCTTGAACCATAATCTCAATCTATAATCACAAGTGGACCATAGTAAATGATCTTCACATATACCCCACAAGCTAAGCAACGATCAGTAGCATGAGAACCCTAAAGTATATGATCATTGTATACAACACCCTTAGGGTAAGTGTTGGACGAAAGAACGGAGGAGTCATAGCCAATGTGTTGGAGCCCTGAAAAACACCGGCCCATGAACAGGGCTTGAGGTCCCTAAACCCTAAACCCCCAACCCTAAACCCTCAACCTTAAACCCTAAACCCTAAACCCCAAACCCTCAACCCTAGATCCTAAGGGTTCACGCGGTTTAGGGTTTAGGGTTAACGCTGTTTAGGGCTTAGGGTTCACGAGCGGCCCTGTCAGAGAAGCCCAACAAGCCACAGCAACAGATTAAGGGTTTAGGGTTTAGGGCGTTGATAAGGGACTGACTTCTTACTTATTACATGAGCTATAGTCTAAACTCCTAGTATCCCCCTTAGTAACCCCTATAGTACTACCCTATATAATCCCCTATAGAACCCCCTTTAAGGAGTTTAGACTATAGTACACATGGCTTGATGGTCCATAACAAGACTGCGTGCAGGATCTTGCTACCACGGCGGCATCCTGGAATTTCTTTCACAAGGATCCCAGTCCGTAAGGGTCCAAGGACTCAAATAATAGGGTCCCTTTAAAGGGGTTATAGGGGGATATATAGGATTATATAGGGTTACCTAAGGGTCCAAGGACTGGCTTTAGGGCCCAAATACTATAATATTAATGGTATTTGGGCCCTAAAACCTGATTATTTGGGTCCTTGGACCCTTAGAAAGTGTCTAGGATCCTCCACTTTACATGTCGCAACCTAATGCGCATGATGTGGTTGAAGGTGCTGGGAGGTTTGGAAAAACCCAATGTTCATCATAATCTTCTCAAGAATCCTGAAGACACCACGGATACGCAACGCCCCACATCAGACATGTCGCGAACCTTCCAGGGCGCTTTTTAGTGCCCCTCAAATTTGGCTGCATGCAAGCTTCAAGCACTTGGTTTCTGAGCCTCCCGTTCTCCGGAAGTGTATAGAATACATAGGACAAATGGACTCCATTTTGAGTTTCTCGAGTTCTTGGTGCTTCCTACCACACAAACACCCCAATTTGGTTAAACGCCCGCGCGATCCAACTTGAGGGAACCAAGCTATACCTCCTGCAATTCTGAGCTTGTAGGGTGTAGGGTGCAGTGATAATCCCTGAGCCCTACATCCTCCCCCTGTAGAACCTATACTCCCCCATTGAAGCAATGAAGTATAGCTACGGCACTGCTCTACCTGGAGCAAAACCCTACAAATTATGTAGCCCTGAATCTCACGCCTACTACTTCGAGGCTTGAGGTAACTACAATAGCTTAGCTTCATAGCTTCATTAAGCCGCCTCTAAGTGTGCTTATAACCCTGGCACAATCTCCCTAAATGCCCCAATATGGCTATCGTGGTAGTTGGGTTATAGGCACCCTAAAACTCCAAGCAATGACGATCAGGGGGTGGGGGAAATACCTAACTTCAGCCGTCCTGATAATGTTGAGAGCTTAGGGTTTAAGTTAAAGATCCGGGATTAGGATTTAGTTCAGCTGGCAAGGTTTAGGGTTTATGGTTCCCCTTCAAGTAGATAGGATATAGGGCTTAGGGTTTAGGAGTTTATAGTCCACCTTAAGTAGATTGACTATGGGGTATATGGGGATCTTATTGTAATCTACCCAAAGCCATATTCTATCTACTTAAGGGGGACTGTATGGTTTAAGGCTTAGGATCAAAGAGTGCTGGGCAGCGGCCTTTTCCCTCTAGCCCTGGCTTTCGCAGCCGCTCCCATGTTCGAAACATGCCCATACTGTCGGTGGAGGAATTCCTGCAGCCCAACTCCCTAGGAGTTGTGGTAGCTTCGGGCCCCCAAACCCGTAATCCGGATAGATTGCGAAGAAGTTCCTCCACCAACCTCAACTTCAAGCGTCTTCAAGCAGGGAATCTTCCTGTTGTTCAAAAACATTCTCCCAAATAGTTTTCCCATCCTAGCACCGTCTAAGGAATATGTGTTATTCTCTAGTAGAGGTACCCTTGGAAGCCTTTGGGACATTCAGGTATTATGCGGATATGACAGGGGTTCCTACTAGGTTACTGGGGATTGCATAGAGGATTGTTGACGAACCCCTGCACCCTTAACCCGAAGCCCAAAATCCTAAACACGCAGCCGCAAGCCCCAAAACCCAAGTCCTAAACCCAAATCCCGAAATAAGAGGCCGCGGAAGTTCTGGGGCATCGTGAAACACGTCCTTGACATTGCGCAGCAGTCGCTGCGAGGTTCTAGTCTTCTCGCTAAATTCACATACTTCCGAAACTTGAAATGGTTATTTCCATAAACCAAGGGACCCCAATATAAACCCCAATTTATAAATATATGTATGTAGTACTATACGTATTCTGAAACCCTAAATTTGGGGAATACTCCAAAAGGCTGGTTTAGGACTAGCCTCTATGCACGAGGTGAGGTCACGATAACCTGCCCAGCCGCCGCTGACTTCTGCATGAGTACTGACACACCTTACCCTAAACCCTAAACCCTAAACCTTAAACCTTGAACCAACAAAAGTATGACAGTGCCCTGGACAAAGCAAAGCTCAGCCAGGGTTTAGGATTTAGGGTTCAGGGCTTAGGGGTTTAGGGTTTAGGGGTTTAGGGTCTAGGCTCAACCATGACTTTTTTTTCAGCAAGTGTAGCTCTTGCTCTGATGCTACAGTTTTTTTAGCTAAATTTAGAAGCCGCCATGTAAGCTATAGCAGAAAATCCCCGAGTATCCTCCTTAATAACCCCGATATTACTTCCTTGTAGCAACCCCTCTATAACCCCGATAAAGTAGTTTAGCCAAAATCCGAAACCCTACATAACTATATAACCTTTACCATAAGCCCCAAAATATGTAGAATAATTGCCTTTTGGGCTGCTTTTAGGGGTCTTGGGCTATTATTTTGCCTACTTTTGGGGGTTCAGGTAAGGATTTTAAACTCCAGCCCATGTGCGCTACTGTCTAAACACCTAGTATCCCCCTTAATGACCCCTATAGTAGTCCCTTATATAATCCCCTATATAACCCCCTTTAAGGAGTTTAGACTATGGTTCATGTGAATGCAGCGAGGCCCTAGGGCATCCTACGCGGCCCATCCAGCGGTATCATTACGGCTGGCTACTTTTGACGGCGCTTCTTGGGCCTGTCAGGGATCGGGTTGTGTCCTTAAATTTAGGGTTTAGGGTTTAGGGTTTAGGAATTTAGGGTTTAGGGCTTAGGATTTAGAGTTTAGGGTTTAGGGTTACCCAAATGCAGATGCCTGTAAATCTAGGGTGTAAGGTTACTCCAGTACACATCACTTTGGCATTGGGGATATTGTAAAACTCTTATAAAAATGTAATGTGCAAAACAATTAACACGGGAAATGTGAATGACCCTAAACCCTAAACCCTTAACCCCAAACCCTGCCTGTGTTTGGAATCTTCCGTCAACACGCGTACCACGCCGCGGTGCCCAGCCTCTTGCGCAGATCTCAACGACTGCGATATATGGGGGTACACGGGGGTTTCTGAATTTAAGGGGTCCCGTGTTGGGTTCCCATATATGTATATATATATAATACAGATTATATTCTAAGCAGCCCTCTAGATGTGGGTGCCCTTGTTTATGAAACAGACTATATAAACCTCAACAATGGAGAATTAAATGGAAATCAACTTAGAAAATGAATGAACATGATATGAGAACTGGCGTGACAAAGGGATGTACAGCTGGTGTCCACCAAGACCCTCCCAGCACCCTTAGTCGGGGATATGTTGAACTTAACAGTGGGTACTTAGGCCCTAACAGAGGGTAAGAGAAGGGTCCAGGCGGCCTCTTTAGCGATCATGAGGGCAGTTCCACCCGGCTGCGCCAGCTTGTTTACGTCCGCCCTGCACTCCATCAGCGCACGCACCATGTCGACGTTACCGCTGCCGCTAGCAAGGTGTAGGGGCGTCACGCCTTGCTCAGCAGTGCTATTTACCATGCCATCGACCTCACAGAGAAGCCGTATGATCTGCGTCCGCCCCGCCAAGCATGCCAGGTGTAGCGGTGTTGCACCCTCTTCTCCAGCGGTGCAAGCAGCATTGGCCCCTGTATTGAGCAGCCAGCGCGCCAGCTCGACATGCCCAAATGAACTAGCTGCCAGAAGTGCTGTCTGCCCTTGGTCTGCAACTGCGTTCTTGTCAGCGCCAGCTGCAACCAAGCACTTTACAATTTCCAGATGCCCGTGAACAGAGGCAAGATGTATGGCGGTAACTCCTTAGTTGTCCAGCACCTAAGGCATTCCCTACCCCAAGCGTTGAAGATTACGTGTTGGACAGGTGGGACTCCATTCCTGACTAAACCCTAAAACCTGAACCCTAAACCTGAAAACCAATCCCTACACCCTAAAACCTACGTAGACCTTAGGCCCTAAACCCTAAACCCTAAATAGTAGTTTCCATGTTGATCTCAAATTATCCCTATATTATACCCCTACATATCCCCTATACCCCCTTAAGGGGACCCCACACTAAACCCTAAACCCTATATCCCAACCCTTGAGGGCCACCCATTGGACAGATAAGTCTCCATCCCCCGCCGTCTTCATGACCTCTGCCTTGCAATCCAATAGCCAGCGGGTCATTTCCAGGTGTCCCCTTGCCTGGGTGGCTGTTAAGAAGCTTAAGGGTTTAGGGTTATAGTCCCGCTTAAATAGATAGAATATGGCTTTGGGTATGTTATAATAAGATCTCCATATATCCGATATTCTATCTACTTAAGGGGGACTATACCAGAATATGGGTCTATAGGGCTGAGGGTGTAGGATTTACGTAGGGTTTAAGTTGCCATAATATAGGTCTAGCGTAAATGATAGGATTTCCTCATTCTAGCAAGTGACTTCAAGTTCCTTAACAGCAGCCCAGTTGCAGAGGAGTAGTGTAATGGAGGGCCAGTATGACCGCCGCTAGGCTTATCGATGTCGGCCTTTGCCTCCACCAGTAACTTGGCGGATTTCAGGCTATCGCTCCCGGCTGCCAGGCACAAAATCGATCTGTTCCTGGCCTGCAGGTAGGGTTTAGGGTTCGAGGTCTAGGGTTTAGAGTCCCATTTCAGTAGATAGAAGATGGTGTATATGGGGATCTTATTCTAATATACCCAAAGCCATATTCTATCTACTTAAGGGGGACTATAGGGTTTAGGTATCCTGGCCTTCAAGTAGGTATCCGGGTCCAAAGGTTTCTGCAGAAAGCCCTCCACGGCCTGTGAATTGTCAACTGCTACTGCTGCGGAGAAAGACTCCAAGCACTCCGCGCTGGGAGCACTATATGCCAAGAGAACAAGCTCCAAGTGCCTAGGCTCTTGAAAGTTACCCTAATGGGTATACATACAATAACCCTTAACCCTAAACCCCAGACCCTGCAGTAACTTGGTAGTTACCCTAAACAGGGGGACCCCAATTCAGACCCCAAACTATTAAAGTCCTTATTAAAAGGACTCGCAAAAAGGTACCCCCCAGATTTGGGAAACCCCCGCAAAAATAAATCCATAACACCCTAAACCCTACACCCTAAACCCTACACCCTAAACCCTACACCCTACACCCTAAACCCTAAACCCTAAACCCTATAGTAACGTAATTCTCAGTCCATAACAGCTGTCCAGGTGCATGGAAGCACTCAGCTCAGTATCATCCTCCAGGACCGTTCCTTCCTTCAGCAGCTTCCTGGGCTGCTGTTACCCAGAGGGTTTAGGGTTTAGGGTTGAGGGTTGAGGGTTTAGGGTTTAGGGTTTGGGGTTTAGACCCCCTAAAGGATCCCAAAATGGAACCCCCCAATATGAACCCAATACTACATTGGGGAAACTAAGGGATTGTGAGGGGGTTCCATTTGTTGTATCCTTTTAAGGGGTCTGGGTAAAGGACTGAATTTGAGTAACCAGATTGGTATACAGCAAATAATTAGGAGGGTTTTCCTTATTGTAGTATAAAAAAAGGTCCTGAACAGCGACCCAGTTTCTGCCTAAATCGCGGCTTGCTAACCAAGAGCTCTAAATGCTCTTTCAAGGCTCTTGTGGTGCATCCCCTTGCTGCCACGAGCCTCTCAAATTCTTCAGGGGACAGCGCCACTATCTCTGCCCCAGAAGCCATCATTGATACGCGCAACATGCTGCTACACCTGTAGCTAAGCTGCCGGCAATAGTGACACCTCGTATAGGAACGTAAGCGGTATGCTCTCTTTTATGACCCTCAGCATACGAGGATCCTGTTTATTGCGGGTTCCAAGTGAGCAGACGACCGTAGGTTTGAAAAACAATGTGCTTTAAAGGTGAGAAACCCATGTGCTTTAAAGGTGTGAGGAGCACTGTGTGCTCTCTTTGGAACAACAAGCCTCTTGGTAACGCATGGTGCGTGTGACTCAGTTGCAATGCGCTTGCCTTGCATGCTTGACGTCTCTTTGGCACATGCCTACTCCACTTGCCAATGCCCCTGAGCAGATAAGCGCAGACCAGGTTGTGGTTCTGACGAGTGTAGCTTTACTTGTCCCAAGGTCCGATGAACGTCAGCAAAATGATAGCACATATCTCAAGTTCAAACAAGACTCGAAGAACTCGTAGTAGAGCTTGGGGTGTGGGTTCAGGGCTTTAGGCCGTGAGTATTTCTCGTGCACCTTCAAGTTTGGGTTTATGGCACGGGTTTAGGCAGCAAGGCCCCGAAGTCTTCATGTGTTGAAGTCTTCAAGTGTTGGGGTAGTCGAATGTGCGCTGCTACGCTCCCCTCCCTCAAGCCGCGCCTTTACAAGGATGCACAAGGGATTCCATACTGTTTTCTTGCTTCTCAAGGGGAAGTCGTAACGGGACTCTAGTCTACAGGGCACCTTGTCGGGCCACAAGGGCGAGCCGAGCAAGTGCATAAGCTTGAGGGTTTAGGGTTTAGGGTACGCCTTGCGCGACAGTTTTCCCAAAGTGTGTGCGGAGTCCACATGAATCCAGCTTAAGTACAGGTTCGCGCGTTTAGGGTTTAGGGGTTTGGGGTTTAGGGAAGCCCTTTTCATGCGAGCTGTAGTCTAAACTCCTAGTATCCCCCTTCATATGCCCTATAATATTCTCTATATAATCCACTGTATACCCCCCCTCAAAGGAGTTCTGACTGTAGCTCATATGGCAACTGGACAACAGACCTTGGGGGCTTCTCTCAAGAAAGGTCCTCCTGTCTGGGAACCCTAGTATTTGATAAGGACAATAATATGAAGTATATGTGAAGGAGGCGGTTTAGGGTTTAGGGCTTTAGGTCAACCCACGACCCAAAACCCTACACCCTAAACCCCACACCCTAAACCCACAACCCAAAACGCTAAACCCAGTTCTCAAAACAGCTGCCCTTTGAGGGCACTATTCGGGACTGTGTGCTCTTGGCCTGCAGTCGATCTCGGTGGTCGCAGGTTTCGCGAAGAGCCTGGAGTGTGTCGGGCTTAGAGCCTAGGGTTCAGGATGTAGGTTTTAGGGCTTAGGGTTCAGAAGTTCGGGTTTAGGGTTCAGGTGTTAGAGTTTAGGGTTCAGGGTTTAGGGCTTAGTGCTTCCCCATAGGCCGACAATACCACACATTACCTACCGTACAAGGTCTGGCTTCTGCCGTTCCCTATGGATAGTTAGGACCTTCTGGGTGGGAGATCAAGACTTCTCAGACTTTTAGGCACATGGGGAATGTCAACAGATGTTAGCTATCACGAGCCAGCAGGATACCTATATAGGCGACAACAGAGAACTAGGAGCATGCACGCATGCGCGAAGTAAAGTGTTATTCCTCAAAGGCAATGCAGCTGTACGGTGAATACCTGGGCCGCAAAGTGGGGGCTTGTCAAAATGGGGCCTGTTTGGGGGACCCTAGAGATTTTGGGATCATAAGGATTTAGGGTTTAAGGTTCAGGGGTACAGAGTTTAGGGTTAGGGGTCTATAGAACCCTACAACTTACTAAATAATTGGGTACCATCTCAGCACGGAATCTGCGGCCGAGTCTCACCAGACGAGAAGCTTATGCACTTTCGTAGCTCTGAGGAATATATATATATATGTATATATATATATATGTATGCATAGTTAAGTATATGTACATATTGGGTAATTATTGCCCCCACTCAGTAACAGTTGCACACTAATTTGATATAATGTAAGGATCTATAGTATATATATATAGCCTTCAATATTACCCCTGTTCTAGACCGTTACTGGGTGAGGACAGTGCCCAACACATATACACATATGTATATCCTCCCTAAACCTTTTGATCCCTAAACCCTACGCCCTGAACCCTGACGCGCAACGGAACGGGTTCTCCGCAAGATCCATGCGGGGTTTATGTCATCTACCGCGAAAGGTGCAGAAACTACTGCGTTTTGCAATGTATTTTGCATGCAAAGGTGTCTGTGAAGCGTTGTGTCGCACATGCATTTCGTGCGACGGTGCCTGGCCAGATTTGTAGCCTGTTCAAGAGCACTGTGCTTTACAGGTCGAAAAAGGTGTAGCACACGGAACTCAGTGGTAATAGTCAGCTCTTTTCTGTGTTCACGCGATCAGAAGCTGTAGATGACATGCATGTTGTCCCATTACGTGCGGTGTTTTTGCATCAGGGTTTCCGGAAAGGACATAGACTTTGTCCCACCGAGCGAAGTGTTTCTGGTACGTGGATGCACTTGTAACACGAACGTTTTCCATGGCTTGGGCATGGATGGTCTAGAAACGGGTTGCTCTCGAACACGAACGTTATTACAGTTTGAACATGGATGTTCTGGTAATGGGATACTCTCGAACATGAACGTCATTATGGTTTGGGGCAAGGATGTTTTGGTAATCGGATGCAGTCGAACATGAACCCGGTGTTTTTGCATGAGGCTTCCCGAAATACTGTGTTTTACAGGTTAAGATGCCCCCTCCACCCCCCCCGCCCCGCCCCCCCCAAAATTTCCGAGCCGAGCCAATCTTGACGCGGTCGATGAGATCTGGGCTGTGGGATTGTGCGAACCCTAAACCCTAAATAGCAGTTTCCACTTGATTTTCCATTATCCCAATATAACCCTAGATAGTAGTTTCCTTTGTATTTTCCATTATCCCAATGTAACCCTAATGTTACCCCAATGGGTACCTATATCATGTTCAACTTTTAAACTCGTACTTGCCTCCGTATCTCGCTGACTAAGGGTGACTGGCAGATGTTTGCCCGGAAGCTCGCGGTCTAGGGCTTAAGGTTTAGCGTTCTGGGCATGTCTCAGAATGACCTCAAGATAACCCCTATGCAATCCCTCATAAAGCTCCCCATAAGCCTGTTATACCTCCTCCTCTACATGTTCCCAAGCCCTGAACCCCAAACTATACCAAAAATTCTAAACCCTAAACCTAAACCCTTAACCTCAAGGTGCCCAACTTTCCCCTGTTTTGGGAACGACCAACTTCAGCTTTACGCGAGCAGGGAAATTTACGACCGAAAGCCAGACAAGGCCCTAATCCCTACATATAAGCAGGTTGCTAACATCTGTGATCCTCTGCATTTACCAGCCCTAAACCTTAACCCCTGGCACTATGGGATATCACCCTGTTTAAACCTTAGATTTGTTTTGGGAACCATAGCAGCCGTTTTTTTATCCCCAACAGGCCGCCCTGTGTCCTATTAATCCTTCATGCCCTGCCAGCCTCCAGTATTCAAACTAAAGCCTAGCCTGCTCCGAAGCAAAAAAAAAACTCCGGTGGATACTAAACGCCCTGCATGACCCTAAGTACGTACCTTATACCTTGGGAATCTGACATTTGCTATTATAGCCTACTAAGGCTACTAAGGTCATGCAGGACTTTTACACTAGGGTCCAAGGACCTCAAATATTAAGGCTTTAGTTCCAAATACCATTCAGATTCTGGTATTTGGGCCTTAACACCCCATTCTTTGAGTCCTTGGACTCTTAAGGTTAGTATCAGCAGTACCTCCCGGTCGATCTTCTGGTCTCGCTGGAGCTCGCGGACAAGATCCTTCAAACAAGGCCACTGGCATTGGCCAATTTACAATATCCCTAAACCCTGAATCCCTACACCCTAAACCCTAAACCCCAAAAACCCTTCACCCTAAATCCTAAACCCTAAATGCTAAGCCCTAAACCATAGACCCTAAACCGATACAAACAACCATTTAGGGTGAGGTCGGGTGGGGTTGTCTGCCCAGCTTGCATATGCGGGCTTAAGGTTTGGGGTTTAGGGAGTTTACAGGGGGTCTGAGTTTGTACAAGTATGAGAAGGGGGAGTCGCATTTTTGGGAATGCCTATGTGGTTGCCGGGCAATGCCACAATTAACAAAACACTCTTCCTACACTAATGTTTACTCAAGCTGCTTTTGGAAATAAATCTACACGTTTTTGGTGTTGCTGCAGCACAAATGAATGAAATGAGGTCTTCGCCTACCAGCTGGCATTGACTGTTTTGCAATCCGCCTCGAAATCAACAACCCTTATCCCCCTCCAACAAAAGAAGCCCCAAGCAAACCCGCAGGCCAATATGAGCTATAGTCTAAACTCCTTAAAGGGGGGTATATAGGGGATTATATAAGGGAGTAGTATAGGGGTTACTAAAGAGGATACTAGGAGTTTAGACAATGACCCATATGAAGTCCCTCAAAAAAGAACTGGTCTGGGCGGGGCCCTTTTGGGGGGGTGACAGGTTGCTGTACAATCCTAAACACGTTAAGGTTTAGGGTTTGGGTTTGGGGTTTAGGTCTCTACAGCACCCCGATATGACCATGCGTAGTCCCACAACCCTAAACCCTATAAATCCTAAACCCTAAGCCCGAAACCCTACACCCTAAGCACATTGAATTCTCAGTAATAGGGAACACAATCCCCATATGACCCCTCTATGATGTATTCCCTCAATTCCTGTGAGGTGTAGGGTTGAACCTTGGTGTAGGACGCGTCACAGAGCTTACCCTTGAAACTTGAATGGCTTTACCTCCTTCGTCCTCATCCTATACCCCTGTGGTACCTTTGCATTTGCGGTTTAGGGGATACCCTCAAGTGGAGCATGGCCACGATGCGCTGGCTTGGGGCTTGAAATTCAGCGGTGAAAGGCTCTTGGATGATAAGGAAGTTTAGGGTTTAGGTTTAGGGTTTAGGGTTTAGGGCCTGGGCATTCTT